AATTTTTTTAGCCAGCTCATGATTTGAAAGAAGAGTTTTTATGGAAAGATACTTTTAAAATTGCATTTATTCACTTTGTTTTTCAGTGAAACTATTTTTTAATAACTGTAAAACAGAGACAAACATTTTGTTTCAGTTCTAGTCACATGTTTTGCTTTGAAATTAAGATAATCATACCTCCTTGTTCAGCTGAAAATGTTTTCTTTAAATTTGGTCATAGGTCCTACTATTCAATTAATATAATCATACCTTCTTCTGCTGCTGAAAATAAAGCAGTTGTTTAATTAAACATGCCAGTTGTTTGTAATATAATGTTACAGAAATACTTGTTTGAAAGAAAGGCTAAAGATTTATATCAAACATTTCAATCTGACAAGTAAATTACATTTCCTCTACCATAAAGAAAGGTAAGGCAGGAAGATAGTTGCAATATAAGAGTAACTAAGGTTGTTGCACTGAGGAAAAGCACACTTGTTCTCATTACTTGGAGATATGATAATCATCAGTCTACAAAGGTGACCTTTTCCACTCTGGAGATTAAAGCTGAGCATTTTACCTTCTTAAAATAAGGAAATAGACATTATTTTGAAATTGTAACTATATTTTAATAGCTAATCAGCTCAGAGATGAGAGAAAAAGTGTGAGATTTTAAATCTAAAGAGTGAACAGAATGAACCTGAAGAGTATCTGCGCCAACGTCTTTAATAAAAGCAAGAATTAAGTTTTCTCTAAGGGTTTAAAAAGGTCTACTTATCCTCAATTGCTTTCCCCATCTCAAATTATGACACTGTGTGTCTAAGACCTAAAAGATACAGGCTGCCAGAATGGTCTCTCCAGTACTGAAGCTGGCATAAGTTGCAGCTTATCCACCCCTGCCGTCAGGTTTTCCCATTGGAAGCTCTGGTGCTGGAAATGAAGCACTTCATGGTCTTCAGGATTTTATTGAAGGGGTTCAGTGGTTCTTTAAATTGACCATGTGTTCATTTAATTTTTTAGAAATGAAAACGTGTTTTAGAAGAGAGAAAGATTTTAAGTGATCTCTGTTATTATTATGAGCAGTCAGATCTTCTTGATGTCTGCCTGTCTGAAATCAGAAAACATCTCTGATAATAAATGGATCATTTGAAGAGAAGGAGGCAACAGTATCCACCTGTCATATGAATCTTTTTCAAATCCTGAAAGACTACTGCAGTGTGCTTTCATAAACCAGCCTAGGCAAAATGCAAACTTTCTCTTGGTGTCTGAAGAAAAAGAAAGTTTAGCTGCTTCCGTCAAATAACGGCTGAGATTGAATAGCAAAAAGTTAGCTGAAATGATGCTTATGCCTAGTCTTCAGCATTCCATGGGCATGGAGAGCTTTTATTTATCCCTCATGGGCCACAAGAATGAAGATGGGTATGATTTTTGCAAGGGTGAAATAGGTTGTCTGTCAATTGGGTTTAGGCGACAGTCTGTCTGCAGGCCGTAAGATGATCTGCATAGTGCCAGAGGAAAGCAGGCAGAATTCCTGGCTTGCAAGCACAGATATTGATCTACCTTAGCCACCTAAACAATGCCTCACCTGTTTGCCTTGTCCATACCTTATTTTACGCAGTCTAATGCTTGTTTTGTTTGACTTTTCTTTTATTTCTGTGGATCTGAGCTTTGATACACTTTGGGGAGTACATAAACACAGTGTTGTACTTGAACATCACCATCCTGCAGAGTAATCTAGTGGCTCTGGACCACCCCTCCCTGCATGAGAACAGCAGTGTTATTGAAAATTATGAGTGAGCAACTAAGTAAGTAGGCCACATACACAAGTGTTTGATCTATCGGACTAGTGTCCGATGACATTGAATGTGAGATGCTACTAATTACTGCACTATGTACTCCCAGTTAAAATTTCTTAAATTGGAGCTACTAAAAGGGTCTATTTTTATAATTATTTTTTTTCAGCTGATGGTTACAAGATAAGCCACCACAGAGTTTAGAATCCTATCTACTTATTTTGAAAACAACTATGTTATTGTGTACTGTCTCAAGCAGGAATGAAACAGAAAACGGCATTCATTTTCCCAGTAAAGTATAACATAAATATTTTACCACCATTTATTATTAGTTTGCCATTTCCTGCTGACAGCAATTCCAACTTTGCCAGCAGGCACTGTGTCTCACAATCATATTATGTTTGGAACAAATTAAGACAAACACAACTTCTTATAAAATAAATGAACAAAATTTGCGACAAAAACCTCTTCTGAAGCTAAATGAGCATTTCTTTTAAGTGCTGACACTTGGTATTATTTAATTTGCATACAGCACATTTCACTTTTACTGGAAAACAATGGAGTTAACGAAGAACTAAGTCATCTGTACTTTCAGGGATAATTGAACATTGCTCGATTTAGAACTGTTTTATATTAATGCTGTGAAGGAGCAGCCTACATCATGGTAAGTTTGTCAGCAGTTTCAAACGCACGCATACTTTTGGCCCAGTGACATATGAAGTGGATGGATCAAAATGGAATATGAAATAGATTGTAATGACACTTAATTTGAGCTGATATAGAAATACTTTAAATACAGGGAGTGACACTGAGCCTTTTTCTTCCTGCGAGACATAATCCTCACTTCATAAGATTAGTTGATGGTTTAAGGTTAATAAAGAGAGAAAATCTTTATTTCTTATAAATGTGCTCTTGTCCCTGTACTTTCTCTTAGACATTAAAGTGTTTTCCTGGATGAAGCGGGACGAATAAAGGAAGTGATTTATGCTGGGATTGCCTTCCAGTTTTTGTTACAGGCGTGTGAAGGTGCAGTGAACCCATGATTTGACTTACTCCCCAAAGGCTTTGAAGACACACTCTACCTATAGTACCTATGGTACTGATCTTGAGAGTGTGAGTTGTTCAACCTTTTTTACACTTACAGAGTAGAAATAGGTAATACCTTTGGATTTCTGGTGTAGAAAATGACAAATAAAACTAATTGCCTAGAAATAAAAAACTTCAGATGAAGAACTGAAGTCAGAGGTAGGAATTGGTCCAACTCATTTATGCCTCACTTGAACTTTGATGTAGAAGTGCAAACTCTGAACTGTACATTCCCTTTTTGATTTTATCCCCTCTTTGCTGAGTTCACTTTTACTGAAGGCACCCAACTGATAGCATAGATACCAATAATCTTCAGATTTCTATGGACTACATGCAGCATTTCTGAAAGAAATTCCCTGTAAAATTCTGTAGATATGCTCCAAACTTTAACTCGAGTAGCCCACCCTTACAGATGAAAGACTGGTTTAACCTCTCCCTGCTGATTCATTCTTTAGCCTCTCAGCTGGGAATATCAATTGTGATAGTAATTCTTCTTCTTTAAATAATTTGGAAGGATGACAAATTATAGCTGCCTCAGAAATTTTGCAGTCAGGAAAAAAGCACAATTTTAAAATACATTCCTTCAAAAAATTTAAATAAGCAATACAATTAGCTAAGCACTTACATTTTATTAGCAATAGCAAGTAAAATTAATAAGTAAATTCAATGAAAAAATGATTATGTGTCACAGTATATAGTTTTTACATTGACATTTCACATAATCTGACTTTGCTGAGAGGAGAAATCACTCGTCTGTTAAAATTACTTTTTAAAAGCTGTCAAAATTGGAAAACCTGCTGTCAAAAATATGATGAGAAAAGTTTAAAAATGGTAAAGTATGTTGACTTAGACAAAAAATATTACCTTTAGAGTGGAAAACTTGAATATTGTATCATTATCTTCTACACAGAGGAAAAGCGTTATCTTTTTCCAAGCCATCCTTTTTTTTTAACATTTTAAATTTATGTTTTGCATTTACATTTCAATATGAATGGGACTTCATCCAATTTATGCTGCAGCAGAAGCTGAAAGTAGCAGGTATTTGGACATTTATATTTTAATTGTATGCTTGCATTTTGCGATTTTTAAAAATGACGAGATCCACAGGCCTCTAAGGGTGAAGCCCACTGCTCATCTGGTGCTGCACGCTGCCGTGCGCAAGGGCCCGTGGAATGGAGCTTGGCTGCTGGCTGGCTGGTAGTCTGCTAGCAGAGAGAGGTCCATCCTGCTCTCAGTTTTCATTTTGGCATCACCAGTGGTCACAGACCCTGCTCCTGCAGCGTGTCTCCACTGTGCTTAAGAAGGACAGCTTCAGAGAAGGTGACAATTCATTCTCCACGCACATTCAGTCTTTGGCCTCTTTGTTGAGACTGCCAGCAAGGATGCCAATTAGAGCCATTCAAAAAAGCCCAGATATGCTGTGGTAATAATGAAGTACAGATTTAGAGGGATACAATCCAAAATCATAATTAAATGGAAATGAGAAAAAAACAGAATTTGAAATAAGATTTGACTAAGAGCTACAGAAGTATATCACTCTAAGTATATCCCAGTTTTGCCAGTTACTTTTTCAGCCATTGCTGCCTTTAATACTATACAGCCCTTAATAATAAATTTTCTGTAGATTGTTGTCCCTGCTTGCATGCAGGTAAGACTGACTACACGTGAAGCAGTGAGAGTCACTATGAAGGAAGAGTGCACATGGCATTAGAACCTGACTGTGATGCCTAAACCACATTTCTAAGCACATACTACTCTTTAGAAGTCATTAAACTGGACCTGGGAGGTGGAAAGTAATCAAAAGATTATTTTATTTTTGCTTCACTGTACTTCACATGTTCCGGCATTATGTCTGTGATGTCCTTTCACTCTCATCTATGCAAAGGGAGTGAAGTACTTTTTCCTTCTAACACTGTTCCTTAAAGTACAGCCTGATTTAATCTTGCTGTTCAGCCTGCATTTAAAACACCTTGAAATGTACTCATTTTTTCCAGTTTGGAGAATGGCTACTGAAAACTGTTAATGGCAACATGACAAAACATATAGGGAACATACATTCATACAAATGATATTTCTGCTCAGGTCATGAATCAGAGCACTCCAAGGTGTCCGTTTTGTTTCCTCCAGATCTGAGCAATTCTTTACCTTTCCACATCCAGGTGCCCTTGAAAGATTCTTCTTCCCAGGTTTTCTACACAAATGATGTTTTGCATCTTTTCTCATAGAGTTTTTCTGGCCCACTTGTCTGCTTCTGCTGCTTAGACACGTTGATTCATGTCCTTTTTTAAAATTAATTTGCACTCTGATGGCTCAAAAAATCTTTTCCAACCTAATCCAGTAAGCAGTATTGTCTGAAGGCTTGAGCATATTTTGCTCTGTCTCACACTGACCACAGAAAGGTTTCAGTCTTTAAATGAATTTGATCAAATGAAAAAATTTTGTTAGCAGAACAAATGGGAATTTAGAGTCAGATGTGGGAGGCTGCATCTCTTGCATTTTATAATCAGCCTGACTCACTTCAGGCTGTGTGGGGGCTGCTCTTTCAGCTCATGAATACCACCACATCAACACAAGATTCTTTGAGGTCCATTTATCTGTCTGTCTATCTGAACTCCCACATTGTTTCTTGAGTGCTTCTGGTGTGTGTTGTCCAAGCTCTTGGCACTTATTTACTGCTTTAGGTTGCTGCAGAGGAAAGAGGAATAATTTCGCCATAGCCTAACACACCTAACGAGGACTCTACTTCTGATTCTACTTTGAATTCTAATGGTGATAAAAACAGAGATAGCTTACCTCCCGTAGTTACTTGGGGCAAAACAGAATGATATGTCATTGCTTCAGAGAAGACAAGGAGATATTCAGTTTGATGAAAATTACCCGAATCTGTTCTGAAGAGAAGTCACAAGGGAAGTATCTATAAGGACATAAGGCATTTTGGACCACTAATAAAATTGCTGTAAAATCTGACCATACATGGCAAGATAAAACATTAGAATCTGAAGCTGAGACAGGATAAGAAAGGAAATTAATCAAAATCAAGAGACAAATGAGAAAACATTCTTTGTAAACAGAGGATAATTGGATTTCTTTGGAGAAGGTTGTCCAGTATTTAAAGAACATGTGTATAGCAGTCTTTTATTAGAAACCTAATGGACCCTTCTCTTATATCAGAGCTGATCAGGTATCAGAAGAGTCTCAAGTACCCCTGAGCAAAATAACAATATTGCTAGTGATTCTTTGGAAACGTTGGGCCATGCTGAATATAATTCTAGAGGGCCATGAAAAAAGGTATATACAGGTACAAGAAGATATTGGAAAATATGATCGAGGGGCTCTTATGTGATTGGAATAATTTGTTGAGGAGGTAAACAGATGAAAATAGAGAATAAAAGGAAGATTTCACACGGACTTCTGAAACCCACCCCTGCCTTTTGTAGCTGGTCTTTATGTGGTAATAATAAAGATTTTAATACAACTTTTCTATAGTAGACAGACTTAGTGATTAATTTCTATAATCTCTTTTGTTAATTTAAACAGCTGATTGCAGCCATCTTCTATAACTAACTGCTGAGATTTAAATTAAGATTACTTTAGTTAGGGAGCTATTAGAGACAAAAATACCATTAGTGTGTCTAAATCTGACAGTTTGGAGAAATAAAGGAGTTTATTCTAATATGTCTCTATATTATTGCTATTACTATTATTACCACCTTTCATCAGATTTTATTTCCCTGAGAGCTGTATCAGCAGACTGCATGTTCTGTTTTTTCATCATCCTGATCGGTGCAGCCATGCTATACAGCAAGAAAGAGGAATTCATGCTTATAAAGCCAGTCTATACTCTCAGTAGAGTAGACCATCAGATTAGCCAGAAAGCACTTTTTAAAGAGTAGAGAAGCTAATTAAGACACAAGTAAGATCTATAGTACCTCCATGGAAACTCAGGCTCATTTATGAACTGCTGCTGTTTTTATGCTTGTTATGTGTTTTAGGTTAAACAGTGTTTTTAATGGCAGGTTTGTTCATCACGGAGGAAATTGCACAGACTCATCAGCATTAACACACCAAGGAAGAAAATACAGGCAGAAATGTAGTATGAATGTATTGCCAAAATGTGAAAAAAGCATTCTTAGAGACAGAAATAAAACACACGTGCTCAGCTAAAAGAGACATCTCAAACATTTTCATATAGTGTACAAAGAAGCTGGTCTTTGGCCTGACCATTCTGCGTCAAACCAGGGTATGCAAAGGCTGAGAAATCCCTGATCCCCTAGATTGTGTGGCACCAAGGAAGTTGATGGAGGGCATACAGCAAATAATTTTCCTTTCTGGCACAAATGATGCTAAACAGTACTTGTAGTGTTCACATAACTTTCTTTAACTTTAAACGCTTGAGCGGAAGTAATTTTGCAATGCAATTAGCATAATTATTGATTTATCATGCATCAGCAGCTCCAGGTTAAACGTTTGAGCCTTGACGCTTACTGTGAAGTTAATTCAAAGTACCTCATGATCTTTATCATGTATGCTGTGGGATTTCTCAGACAATTTTTGCCACAGAGCAGAGCATATGTGATAACTCATTACTCTCTAATAATTTCTTGTGTTTCAAAGTCCTTTGGATTCAGAAGTATTATGCAAATATTTGAAATATTCAAGAGCTATGTAGTGGGTGCATAAATCATGAGATTGCCTTAAAAACTGAGACGTACTTGAACAGAGTGAGAAAGAATGGAGACATAACTAGAGAGAAAGGTAATAATAGAGGCAGGCACAGACATAGAATTAGAGGTAGATATATTTATGATTCTTTTTGCTCACATTGATTCAGGCCTAATTTTCCAGATCTTTCACCCAACTATTTTCATAGAAAATAGCTGTGAATTTTTTAAAAATAAGATTTAATTAAATTTATAACTTTCATTCTCGTTTCTAATAAACCACCAAATTATCTTGACAGTTTGTAGCAAAATCACAGCATTCATCAATTCTGTTTTTTACACAACAGGTCTTCAGATTGCTCTTGACTCTAAAACTGACTTCATGTTTAACATGTTTTGAAAAAGGAAGGCTGTTTTGCACAGATTCTTTGAGAATGGAATCTTCCTTTAAGCAGCATTGCAACAAACCTACTGTTGATGGAAAGAATTATTTTCATCTCACCTTCCCATATGGTGCTCAAAAAGAAATTCGATAATCCAATCTTAAAAGAGAATTCTCTATATTCAGATACTGAAAATACAAAAATGGTGTGGAATAGAGGATGGGGCTTGCCATTGGAATGATTAGAACATGTGTAAACATTGTTTTTCTTGTAAGAGATATTAAAAAAAGGAGGTTGAATTGATCTGAAAGATTTTAAGATAGAAGAGTTCAATAAGTAATCCACTGAAGAAAATTGATAACAGTAGTTTAAAATCAAACTGCAAATGAACTGCAGCTGCTAAAGAAAATGTGTTGCTTATTCGTTTCTTTAAAATAGCATGCCCAGCTCCTAATCCCTGTTGTAGTCTAATAATGACAGAGACCCTGTCTGCTAGGTAAGCTTATGACTCAAATTCACCAATTTCAATATGTTTGTATGCTCATACATTTTTCTGCATGTGTTCCTTTTGCTCTGTCTTTAATTATAATCAGAAATGAGAGTAGGCTGTGGAGCTGAAACCAGGGAAGTAGGGATCTTGGAGCTTTCTGCTTTATGAAACCAAGACAAAAATGTTAAACTACCAAAAAATTGTTATACTCTTGTCAACTTCTCCTGGACAGATTCTGATCATACCTTCTGTAAATCTCCATACTAACCTGAAATGCTGAGCTTAAAATCTCCCATTTTTCTAAACCCATAGGTTCCCTAGATCTTCCTGAATAAGACTGTACTTACATTTAGATGAAATTCTTACAGTACAATTTCTCTCAGCTTTGTAGTGACAGTAGCAGTGACATACCAAAGTCATAATCAGTTCATAGCACGATGCATAACCCACTCTTCCAACTTTGCTATCATGAACTTTTGTGTAGGAGGATCAAATGTTGGATATTAATGGTTTCTGGAAGAGGCAAATGAAAAGAAGAAATAGGACAATCCTCTCTGTATCTCTCTTAAGAGGAAATCATCAAAAGGAGAGCTTTTTGGTCAAAATGAATACTTCGGCACTTTAAAAAGTCATGTGCAATAAAGCATTTCTGAAATGTCCTCGTAGCGAAAGGATTTTAACAAATGAAACAAGAAATTATAATTCCATATCAAAAATCTGAAGAGGGAGGGAATATTTTTGCTGTGTGCAAGCTGAATCAAGTTAATGAGGCATCTAACACTGCGAAAAGAGCGTTCTCTATAAATAAATCCCGTCTGATTGGGATATATTAGTCTTCTGATAACACTCTATAGCATACAGATGCTTTGAATAGAATGTGTATGTGTGCAAATACTCAGATCTATTGGAGTTACTGTTCTCCAAGTCCTTGTCCATGATGCATATTGCAGTCATTTTCATATTTAAGCACTGAATAAAACCTCAGTCTCACTCCACTGCCCGGTTTGAATAGGTAGGTTTAGCAGCTAGGCTCTGTGAAAGCTCTGGAGATCGTATTTCACACACAAGGATGTGGCTAAAGAGCAGCTGTGTAGCCTGTCAGTGGAGGACTCCTCATCTGCTTGCCCCTCTGGTGAGCTCTCCCAACACTTTGCTAGCACTTTGCCAACACTTGGGTAATGCTTGTGCTTTCAAGAGCTTTAAAGGATCAAGGGGTGAGGCCTCGTGTCACAGACTACTTTCCCCTGTCACTATCCTGGCTCTATACTTCTATGTGTCATTGAGACTGTGGTGACTCTGAAGGCAGCGTGGGTAAACAGCCAGGAGAAAAATTATATGAAGTTACAGCGTCTGGTAGCTTTCTCAGAAGTCATTGTTTTTTATCTTCAAAATCTAAACTAAGAGGGTTAATTTGTTTGGGCTTTTTTGGTGGTTGTTGTTGTTACTGATTTTTTTTTTGTGAGGGAAAGGATTTAGAAAGTTCCTTTGAAAAAAAGTTTTCTCTTCTTGTTTGTTTGTACACTTGTTTTTGTTTCATCCTCCAGGAAATTGAAAGGTCGTTCTTTGTGAAGTATCATCCCCTTATTTTTCCTTGAAATTGTGCTATGCACTGTGTTTTCACATTTTTCTAATGGATTTTCTCCTTTGGAAATGTTATTTATTCTCTCCCCAGTTTGAGAATAAAGAGATGGGGATCTTTGGAGAGGGTGTTCATGCTGCTTTGTTGTGGTCAGAAAAGGTAACCTTGAGTTTTGGGAATATTGTGGTGGAATTCAGAAACTTTAGGAGTGTATTGTGTGTAACTCAGAATAAAATAAGTAAATACCCAACACTTCAGTTCCAGGAAAGACTGGGAATCAATAGAGCATAATTAACATGCAATCCTAAAAAAAATGTATAAAATACCTATTTTCTTATGTATTTCCTTCAAAT